AACAAGTAAACTAGTTTTAACCAGATTAGTAAACTAGTGTTAACCAGATTAGTAAACTAGAGGAGAACAGGTAAACTAGTTTTAACCAGATCTGTAAACTTCAGGTAAGGTTTATGATCTGAATTAAAACTTGCCAAACCTATGTTAATATTTGAAGTTTTTGGATTTTATCAATGAAAACGGAAAAATCTGCGAAACTTTATGAAATGTTACAATAAAACAGCTTATAGCATCTTCAACTTTTTTTTCTGACTTATCTGGCTAGCACGACCGTATAATAAAAAACACCGACAAAACATTAGTATTTTTAATTTTCTATGCTTTTTTATTTAAGAATTGAAACTGTTGCTTCTGGCGTTTTTCGAGATCTGGCGAATTTAACTCGAGTTGAACTCCAACATAATCAACTTAAATCAATTCAACTGGACGCCTTGGCTACTTCAACATCAGGTAATTAATTTTCGTGTAAACATCGTGTAAAGTAAATAAAAACAAAATTGAGTTTGCTTTTTGTTGTCTCTACACCTTTTTGTAGGTTTTAATGTAAGCATTAGAATCTGATAAGTTTGTATAAAAATACCATATCAAATTCATGAACTAAAAAATGAAATCTAAAAAATTGCCTCACCCACTTATACAGTATTTTTTGTTTAAATTGCGTCAAATTGATATGACAAAACTGGATTTAAAGAAACTAATGTACATCTTTGGGCTTAGGCAATTTTACAATTTTCATATGTTTATGTTTCATAGCTAATCTTTTTAAAAGTGGTTTTAAGGATTTAAGAATTCATTAATGTACAAAATAAGATGGAGAAATGATTTATTTTTATATTTTTTCTATCTTCTCTTTGCATTGAGGGCTTCCGCCGAAATTTTGCTTATCAAAGATCCATTATGTGCTTCCTTGATAGTAGCTGACCAACCAAGCGAGGGAGGGACACCATGGCCGCTATGAGCCTCACAGATTTACCCTACATTGCTCCGAGCCTCATCAATACAATATCTTACGCAGAAAGAAAGATTTTTAAAGACAATTTTTATATCTTTTATTCAAGCGATACTTTTTTTGAAACTAGTTTATTCTCAATTATTTTTATTAGATGAAAATTTAGTAATATACGATTTATTTTAAAAAGTATGGCTTAAATCAAAGTTATAACAGAAAAAGTGAAATTAACTTCATAATTTGCTCTTCAAATATATCTTTTCCGCGAAAAGCAAAAATTATTCAGTTCAATACTTATTTGGTACATTCGGAGGCTCGGAATTTTGGATGAAAAAACTGTAAGGCTCATGGCGACGTGGGTTTCCCTCCCTCACTCAATAATGCCTCAAATATTATTATGGATTCTCTAAGTTTAGAGCTAATAAATTATGGAGACTTATTTGGGGCCTTATCTGTGTTTATACCAAAAACACAATGTTTCTTACGAAAAAACGTCAAAAAAAAAAGTGGGTGGTATTTGAGTTTTAAGCGTCCAACCAATTAAAGTTCAGTGTTATGTTTATTGTGCTAAATATAACCAGTTGGGAAAGATATACACTAATTATGACTTTAGCAATGAACATTTCTAAATAAAACTCAAAATCTTCTTATTCTGTTATGATGTCTCATCCGCGGCCCTCTCTGCTGTTAAGTGGGAGTGGCCACACTGACCCCCCCCCCCCCCTTCTTTTGATTCTGTCTCCAGCTGTGCCTTAAGGGTAGATGCATGAATTAATAACAATACAGATATGACACTAAATGTCGTCTTTTCAAGATTAATGAGTTTTCGTTCACAATAACTCTGAGACAGAAGCCCAATGGATTTAGAACATGCTCTCAACGAGGCATGCACGTTTGTTCTTTGGGCGCCTCAGGGTTATTGTGAACGAAAAACCCCTAAATCTTGAAAAGACGACATCTATTGTTCTATCTGTATTGTTATTAATCTATGGGTAGATGTACATGTGTAGGCAGAGGTTATATTTGATGTGATACCACAAACCTAAACCTAACGGTGTCTCAGAAATAAATGCGAGAAAAATTTGTCCACATTTTGAAGTGACACTTAAAAGGCTATTTATATATTATAATTAAGATTTTAGATTTTAGCAGAACAGTTTTAAAAATGAAGAAAGAAACCCGAATTCGGTTTTACAATGAAAAAAAAGACAAAAATGTATGCAAAAAAATGCATCAATAATATCTTCTCGAAAAAAAACCTGACACCCCTCCTGCATTCTCTCTGCATTTTAAACCCCTATCTTTTTTTATTTTATTCTGTGAACCCTCCACAAAATTCAATCAATTTTTTTTCAATTCAATTGTTTTTTTGAACCCCCTGTCAGGACTGTGGGTGGAATTTAACTATTTGATGTGATGGGAACATGATAGAGCACGGAGAGTAACAATTAAGATAAAACTCAATACATGAGATATGCTTGTCAAAAAACCACGGGGTGTCTCAGAAAAAAATATTATTTTTTTTTACAGGCAACGTAGAATTGGGGAACAATGAGGAAAATGTTGTTTTGAAAATTGTTAAATTCTGACAACTTTCTTTTTTTGGCACTGTTTTAGAGAAACCGCTAACTCAAATTGATTCTAGTACAATAGATGGCAACGTAGAATTGAGGAACAATGAGGAAAATGTTGTTTTGAAAAGTGTTGAACTCTGACAACTTTCTTTTTTTTGCACTGTTTTAGAGAAACCTGTTAACTCAAATAGATTCTAGTACAATAGATGGCAACGTAGAATTGAGGAACAATGAGGAAAATGTTGTTTTGAAAAGTGTTGAACTCTGACAACTTTCTTTTTTTTTACACTGTTTTAGAGAAACCTGTTAACTCAAATAGATTCTAGTACAATAGATGGCAACGTAGAATTTGTACACTTTATTCTGACAAGCGTCAATTCAGTTTTTGTGTCCGACAAAAATAAGTAAAATATGTGCAATTTTTATGTGTTTTATTTTCTGTTTTTACACTTTTTATTTAATCTTGGAAAACATGTCAACTAATGTGAGAAAATTTCGTTTTCCTTGTTATTTTTGACACTTGTGACGTCATGTATAATTGGTCAATTTCTCTGTTGCCACCTATTGTGCTCGATAATCTATTTGCGCTTACTTAACATTTCATCATTTTATGCTAAGAAGAATATTTGAAGGGTGCCGTTGTGAATCGGGCATGCATCTCTTAAAATTGTAACCAGTAGTGTGTGTTGTTATGTGATAAGTGGTTTATAGGGTTTAAACGGTTACAATAACACAAAGGTAATTAGCCAGAATATTTCCTTATTCATGAAATGGGTAATTAAACAAAAACAAGTTGTTTTAGCTCCTTGTTAAGGACAGGGTGTCTTTGTGTTAGCTCCTTGTTAAGGACAGGGTGTCCTTGTTTTAACTCCTTGTTAAGGACAGGGTGTCCTTGTTTTAGCTCCTTGTTAAGGACAGGGTGTCCTTGTTTTAGATCCTTGTTAAGGACAGGGTGTCTTTGTTTTAGCTCCTTGTTAAGGACAGGGTGTCTTTGTTTTAGCTCCTTGTTAAGGACAGGGTGTCCTTGTTTTAGCTCCTTGTCAAGGACAGGGTGTCCTTGTTTTAGCTCCTTGTTAAGGACAGGGTGTCCTTGTTTTAGCTCCTTGTTAAGGACAGGGTGTCTTTGTTTTAACTCCTTGTTAAGGACAGGGTGTCTTTGTTTTAGCTCCTTGTTAAGGACAGGGTGTCCTTGTTTTAGCTCCTTGTTAAGGACAGGGTGTCTTTTTTTTAACTCCTTGTTAAGGACAGGGTGTCCTTGTTTTAACTCCTTGTTAAGGACAGAGTGTCTTAGTTTTAGCTCCTTGTTAAGGACAGAGTTTCTTAGTTTTAGCTCCTTGTTAAGGACAGGGTGTCTCACTAAACCTGACAAATTATATGTTACTTTGAATAGGATTTAAAGTTTTGGTAATAATATTAGCAAAAAAATCCTTTACTACTTTTCCTTAAAAGTCTAAAGGTTTCAAAATGAAAGCTTCAAAAATTATAGTAATAGGGTAAAACACTAAAAGGGAGGGGACGCCCAGTCCACCCCTCCCCCGCCTGTTTAGGGTTAAAACAGGACCTTGTTGTATCTCTTTAGCACTAACAAGGTCAAATTTTAATAATTTTCAGAATTGTCTGCATAAAGGTTTACAGGCTGAAAACCAGGCCCTAAGCCTGGCAAATTTACCCAGGCATTAAAAGGTTTGGATCAATGCATACAAATGCTAGGTTGGGTTCCAGGGGCTTAGAAACATTTAAAAAACAGCAGATCGTGTTTTACTCATAATTTTATAGATTTTACTTAAATAAAATTAAATCATGGAATAAATTAAGTTATGGAATAAATAAAATAAAATAATTTTGTTTGTGATTTTTTATGCCGCCCCTGTAATCAGGTGTCTTGGTAGTTTAGATTTTCCTTCGATGTTTCTGCAGCATAAAGCCGCAAGGTACTTCTACAAAGAAATAATAATTAAAAATAGTTTATTTTCAATTAGACTATAGGAAATCTCACTCCTTTTTAAAAAGCGGTTTTTTTGGTATGCAACAATTTTAATTTAATCCTGCCCCTTTAAAAAATAATAATAAATAATAAAAATAATTTGTTATTTTTACAAAGAAATGTCATCCTTGATCAGATAAAGATTGAAAGGGTGCTGTTGAGAATAGAGCATGCCAGTCTATAAATGGAGGTCACTTGAACTTACATAGCCAGCCCCTTTAAACCCTTTAGTATAACTCTCAATTGCTAACAAGCGTTCTGCATTCTCTATCCCTAAATAAAGTTTACAAACTTAACACTGTCGATATTGTTGATAATGTTTTGGCAAATTGTTCGCGGTCAGGGATAGTTTGCAAGGTCGAGTACAAACCCGTTCACACTGATCCAAACCTAAAAAAAGATTAAAACAACCTTTTTTGGGCAACAAACATGTTTTTTTGTAATTTCAAGTTTGTAATTTCAAGTTTGTAATTTCAAGTTTGTAATTTCAAGTTTGTAATTTCAAGTTTGTAATTTCAAGTTTGTAATTTCAATTTTGTAATTTCAAGTTTGAAATTTCAAGTTTGTAATTCAAGTTTGTAATTTCAAGTTTGTAATTTCAAGTTTGTAATTTCAAGTTTGTAATTTCAAGTTTGTAATTTCAAGTTTGTAATTTCAAGTTTGTAATGTCTATAATTTTTCTACTGTTCATTTTCTATTGTGGTTTCTCTACGTAGGTGACTTGCGCATTTCTACTGTAAGAAATTAATTAGAAATATCAGAAATTAAACACTTCTAAACCACGTAAAACGACAAAATCTTCCACATTATTGATCAGATAAAGGTGTCAAGGGTACCGTTGTGAATCGGGAATTGCCATCTTTGCATGGAGGTTACGTTGCTACACTCCAAAGTCGACTCATTCTTGAACATTGATGCACAATTTGTATAGCTGCCTGTAACGTTGTGCGTTCAATACCGTCCACGTTGAATACGTTGGTTTCATGTTTCAAATTACATAAAAGTTTAGAGGCTTGTATACATTTCTTTACACAGTGTAAAATTGGATAGGGTTACAGGGGGGAGAAACGAAAGGAGGGGAAGGTGTGAATATATTTAAGGGGGGGGGATATATCTATATTTATTGTTCCATCTTATCCTGGAAGGCCAGGCTTGATTACAATTGTGTCATTGTTTGAAAAAAACTAGTTCTTATTTTTCATGATACACTATAATATATTACAACAATGAAAAACTTTATTTATCTTATGTCATTTTATTAATTTTAAAAAATTATTGTAAAAAATTCCCTGTATTAATGGTTTCAACGAAAAAAAGATAAATTTAATTTGTTTTTTAATTACAACAAATTCAAAGTTGTTTTCAGAAATTTTTGTATTTATTAAAAAAATATTTTTTGTTTTTCCATTTATTACAAAAATTATTTCAAGAATTCAAATAAAATATCTATTATCAAGATGCGCAAAGGCGTCGGAAACCTTTTTTTGTTGCAAACTTACATTTCAAACTCTATCCTTCAAAGAGTGCAGACTTCAGATAAAATAATCTCAGCTCTGCAATCTTCTAATTTTATCAAAATCTTTATATTTTTAATTTTATCTTTAGATTTGATATTATTACAATGATATGAACAACATTTATCTATCTTCCTATCCTTCGATCCATCAACTATATATTTATTTTTTCTTCATCTATCTATTTATCTATCTATCTATCTATCCATCCATCTATCTATCTATATGTCAATCTATCTATCTTAGTATATATCTGTCTATCTATCCATATATCTATCTATCTATCTATCTATATATCTATATATCCATCTATCTACATATCTATTATCTATCTATCTGTTTATCTATCTATCTATCTATCCATCTATATATCTAAATATCTATCTATCTATCTATCTATCTATCTATCTATCTATCTATCTATCTATCTATCTATTTATCTAACTAACTGGCATCTAATCTTATTATCGTGTTGAACTAAAGCTTGAAATATAACTTGGAGCAGACATTTTAAATATATTCATTCAACTTCATATCTTTAACCTTCCCTTTTCTTTCTTCCCCCCTCCTTTCATCCTTTCCACTCTTACAATGTTAAAAAAATAAACTCCTCCCGCCCCCTACCCCCACCCTCCGTCCATAAGGTGTTCTAGCCTCTTTGTGTCTTGAATTTGCATTTATCGTTTTTAACAGATAGATAGGTAGATAGGTAGAAAGTGTCATTTATTACAGACAACTCATTTCATCAGTTTGCATTCTGTATTCAACCCTAGAGTCATCCAGCTCTCTTCGTGTGTAAACCAACAGAGCTATCACAGAAATCACTTTTTAACCTGAGAGTATGAAGTAGAAAGACAAAGAACAAAAGTTACAGACATGCAAAGAATAATCTTTTTAGTCCATTTAGTTTCTAATTTATAAACCCTTGTTTGTTAGACTATAGGAGAGTTCTGTTAACATTTACTCTTTGTGGTACAGATTAATGAATGTTCAGTAAACCTGCATACTCTGTGATTGGGGCGTAAACCATTTAGAGATTAAGCAAGGCAGTCTTAAACCTTTTAGGCACTAAACCTGAACATGAGAGGAGAGAATGGGGGTTTTACAGTGGATTGGAGGGGGAGGTAGAAAGGAAATAGAGGATTGTTGATCATCATTTATTAGTAACATCAATTTATGTATTTTGGTGGTCATAATCATATTAATCATCATTATTGCTAATAACAATATGGTTTCAGATTAATATTGTCATAATCATCATCATTATTAGTAATAACATTATGGTTTCAGGTTGATATTGTCATAATCATCATCATTATTAGTAAAAACAATAGGGTTTCAGGTTGATATTGTCATAATTATCATCATTATTAGTAATAACAATATGGTTTCAGGTTATTGTCATAATTATCATCAGTATTAGTAATAACAATATGATTTCAGGTTGATATTGTCATAATTATCATCATTATTAGTAATAACAATATGGTTTCAGGTTGATATTGGCATAATCATCATCATTATTAGTAATAACAATATGATTTCAGGTTGATATTGTCATAATTATCATCATTATTAGTAATAACAATATGATTTCAGGTTGATATTGTCAAAATCATCATCATTATTAGTAATAACAATATGGTTTCAGGTTGGTATTGGCATAATCATCATCATTATTAGTAAAAACAATAGGGTTTCAGGTTGATATTGTCATAATTATCATCATTATTAGTAATAACAATATGGTTTCAGGTTAATATTGTCATAATTATCATCATTATTAGTAATAACAATATGATTTCAGGTTGATATTGTCATAATTATCATCATTATTAGTAATAACAATATATTGTCATAATCATCATCATTAATACTAAAAGCAATATATTTTTTTGATGGTCATTGTCATAGTCATAAGTATCATCATTATGAGTAGCATCAAAGTTCTTATCTTTTTGTCATTTGTAACCTCCTGTTTGTTTGCAGGTGGCCCTCCTGAAGTTCTAATGTCCGAGAATCCCTGGCTATGTGATTGTGAGTTAGAATGGTTGAAGAACATCAATAGACTCTCCGTAAACTCAAACTATGCCCGCGTTCAAGATATCGAAAGCATGACCTGCATCACCTCCAGCCCCGCTCTGGTGTCCAGGCCAGTCCCAATCTTATTGGTTGAGAGCAAGGAGTTCCTGTGTGAGTATGAGGCCCACTGTGTGGCGAACTGCTTCTGCTGTGACTTCTTTGCATGTGATTGCAGGATGCAATGCCCAGAAGGTAATAATTTGTCATTAATCAATCAATGAGATTCTCCAATTGTTAATATGATATTTTTTAAAACAATCAATTCAGAAATTTAGAACTTTTGTATTGAATAACTTTATTCTATATCAAACAGATCTGTTAAGCCCATTGCATTGCTCTTAATAAATAAATCAATTCAACTGATCATTGATTTAGATGAATCAATGACGTATTTGACAGTGAATCAATGAACAATTTGTTGTATTTCAACAATAATTTTGTCAATGAACAAAGAGAAAATATTTCATCTAGCATTTGATAATCAATTCAGGTCAATATTTATCATTGTTTCAGGATGCACCTGCTTCCATGACAACCAGTGGACCAGCAACATTATCCAGTGCTCACATGGAGACTTCTCTGACGTTCCACCGCTTATCCCTATGGATGCCACAAGTGTCTATTTGGATGGGAACAATATGACGGAACTGGAAAGCCCCGGGTTTATTGGTCGCCGAAGAATAGAAGAAGTATATTTGAATAACAGCCAGATACAAACAATTACCAACTATTCATTTGAAGGACTAACTGGTGTTAAAATGCTTCATTTGGAATTCAACCTATTGAGTTCGCTAATGGGGAATGAATTTAATGGTCTGGTGGAGCTGAAAGAACTTTTTCTTCAGAACAACAGACTTGTGGCAATAGGAGCTGAGACCTTCAGCACTCTGAGTTCATTGACAACTCTAAGGTTAGACGGCAACCAATTGACATCCTTCCCAGTTTGGGAGTTATCAGTCAATCCCATTCTCAGCTCCCTTTTCCTGGGGGGTAACTTGTGGTCCTGTGATTGTGAGTTCTTGAACCCTTTTCTTGTGTTCCAGTGGAAGTTTGGGTCTAAACTCCAGGAAAAGGAAGATCTGAGATGTGTCAAGGATCCCGTTCAGAATCCTGTCACAAGCGCTCTCATCAGCTCTGTAGTTTGTGGAGATGACATGAAGACCAATGTTCAGTCAAGTATTACCTCTGTGGATTATACGCCCATTCTTGTTGCAGTGTTCCTTGCTGTTCTTCTTATTGTTATCGCCTATCTTGTCATCTTTACCTTTAGGAGAAGGATAAAGCTCTGGTTTCACTCTAAAAATGAAGATAAAAGTGTTTATGCGCCCACCAATGATAAACTTTTTGATGTATTTATCAGCTACTCAATGGAGGATAAACAGTTTGTTGAAAACAGTTTTGCTGCCAATCTTGAACATGGTGCTACCAGCTACCGTCTCTGCTTACACCAGCGGGATTTTAATCCCAGCACGCCGATCTATGATTCGGTGTCAGTAGCAACAGAATCCAGTTCTAAAACTATTTTGATGCTATCTCGCAGCTATCTTCGATCTCAATGGCCTCTGATTCGAACAACTTTTATCAGCACCCTCATGAATAATAGCAGTAAGGTGATCTTTATCCAGCTGGAAGAGCTACTGGAAGAGGAGCTTGATGAGTGGACTGATTTAAAGCAGTTAATGGGAAGCTCCCCAGTCATTAAATGGGGTGAAAGCGGGTTCTGGAGCAAGTTAAGATACTACCTACCTGAACCTGTCTACCTAACCTTCCATCGTAACGTAACCCTGAGAGGCGGAACGTTAAACAGTCGTAGTCATTACGAACCCGTGGCACCAAACCAAATCTGGACTTACTTTGTAGAGGACTCACATAGTTCTTTGGACACCAATACCACAGAGATGTCGGATACATCCAATGAGTCATCAAAATCTCCCAACTTGGACCACACCTACTATTCTATAGATGCAAATCACATATACCACACTCTGGACCCAGGGGCACCTTGCGCCCACAATCCACCCCGAGGTCGGATCTACATTAATCGTAATCTCGATCTCATCGACAACAAGGGGGCTGTTTGCCTTGTTCAAGGGGGTGGAGAACAAGGCTCAGTGCGTCTTGTCCAGAGCGGGGATCAGGGCGGGACTCGTCCCTCTCAACTCTTCTCCATCACGCCCCCGCCCTCCTTTTCAGTCAACCATAAGAAACCAATGCATTGCACTGACAGTGAATATGTTGTTTAATCTATCAATCAAAACATTCAGGCCTTCCAATCTGTCCCCCCCCCACTCCTCCTCCTCCTCTTTCCAACCACATACCCCTCTTCTCCTTCCTACCTCCCCCCTCCTTTTCTTCCTTTCCCAAACCCCTTCCAAATTTCCAGCAATGGCTAAATCGATCAACCAGAACATTTCAAGCTATACATACAGAATATAAACGTCGGATTATCTACTTGCTAAACTAGGACAATGTTCAAAATTTGGCTACTGTTTCAAGTTTCAAAAATATTCGTTGATTAATGAAAAAGAAAAGTGAATCTTTCCCAATCAATTCACAAAAACGTTAAAATTAATCTTTTTTGGATAAATTGTTTCATCGGAATCCAATATGTGTTAATTTTAAAGGGGATGTTCGCCTCTTTGAAAATGCACAAATTTTTAAATTAAGAATCACAACTTAGCTTAACTTACGGTTCAAAGATGTCGCTCTGAGCCAGAAAAAATGGCGATATTATGAGTATTTTGAAATAAGTGTACAATCCCTCTAACCTGCCAACTTGGTATTATCTCGGCTGTGACCTTTAAAAACTTTAAGAAGCAACCCTAACAGTTTTTTTTCGTAAAATCGAAATATCGAAACTTCTGAATATTGGAATATCGAAATATTGAAAAGATTTCGCGCATTCCATATTTAGTCTAACCACTTTGGTTTAAAATGACAGGATGCTTAAAAATAGTAATATGAAGTGCGGGATCAGTCCCGTTAATATGTAAATTATGTACTATTTATATGTACCAGCTGTTTTACCTATGTTCGTCATGTTTATTTAATGTACACTGTACAGGGTTTAATATTAGACATTTTCAAATTTATTATTTGATTATAGTTCACAACGTCTGATTGAGAATGAATAAGATATTTATGTTTTTCTCTTTAAAATTGATTATTTTCAACTGCGGTTCCTCTATTATGTGAATTTAGAATTTGTGCTACAGAAACAATGGATGGAAATATAACAAGTTTCAAGCTAGATAAACGATGATATTTTCAACATTATTGATCAGATAAAGATTAAAGTTGGGAATCGGCCGTGCCCTTTTTTAGATAAAAAACTTAAAAATGCAATTATCTTTTTTTATTCTTAAATCAGCTTCAAAATAAGTGTCGTCTTCCCAACCAATGTTTGTTATAGAAACCTGTTCAATATCATTTATATAATATTTATAAAATATGTTGCTTGAAGGCGTATTAACCTAGTCAGAAATATATTGTTTTACAATTTAATATATTTTTTTTAAAGGGAGTGACCGGCTATGTAAGGTAGTTGAACTGAGTATGCAGTGTTGTGGAAAACTTCTTTCGGATTCATTTGAGACATATAAACATTTTAAAAGATCTGTAAATCCTGAGTTTGAGCGCAAATCAGACGTTCAAAACTCCTACTTTGGGGGTGGATACGTTTTCAGAATTAGATTTTTCTATCACGGATATTCTTCAATAAAAGAAATTTTACAGAATAATTCGCATTATTGATCAAGCACACCTCGTAGAGTCGACAAAGAGTAGCTAAATTTAAGAACATGAATGAAGTACAGGGTGTCCCAAAAAACATGGGAATTCAGTGACGAATTCGATATCGTCTTTGTTATGAATTAGCATTGTAATACCTAATTTCAAAACCCATAATATTATTATGTCTGCTAGAGTTTATTTTATGAAAAGGGTAAAAAACTGTAAAGATGTGTCTATAATGTCTCCGCAAGATGAACAGTGAAGACGGACAAGTTTACTCTGTTTGTATACTGTAATTTTCTTGTTTTACTTATTACAACCGTATGCAGTCAAAACATAAACTAACAAAATGTAAACATAGCAGACGAAACTCTTACAGATTACAGCTTTCTCAGGGTAACCCGGTAATCCTGTATTACAGACACATTAAAGAAACATATAATTTATAATTTACTATTTTTTTATAAACTCATAGCATTTTTTCGGAAATCCATCAATGTAAACCAAAAATCCACGAAAATGATAATTACGGAAAAAGATGGCAGCTTGAAGGCACTCTGTTATTTGTCCATACTGTTTAATAAACGTGCCGAAAAAAATCAGTCTAAGAAATCAGTTAGGTTTAAGCAATAACAAAGTTAAATAAAGTTCTTAAAGGGACTGTAAGCTTAATTTAAGAAACCCTCCGTGCAAACAGGGGAATTTCCAATATTCAACGCTATTCTTTATATCTTTGACTGATCAGATCGATTGCAGAGCTAAAATATTCGATATTTTCCACAGCATGTTCTATTGTGTACAAGTACTGTACACGACCAATCAGCAAACATCTGTATTCAGAGATATTTAAGGATCCTTTGGATATGAAACACAAAATCTTCAAAAAAAGACTGAATTCATAAATGTTATGTTTCATGTTTAAAATTGGAGTATTTCTTTAAAAGTTGTAAAACTTAACCCCTGAATGGGTATTATGTTCAACAAGTGACCGTGAAATGGCACTTTTAAAACCTATCGTAAAAACGTAGCATGTCGTGCCGGGTCAACTTAGGCCTGCGTAGCCCACCCTGTGAAAGGAGATAAGCAGTCTGTGTAGCCTGTGGTTAATTGTATCAATTATATCAATATAATAAAGACGACTTTTGATTTAGATTTTAATTCATATATCAAGCTTTCAAACAGCGTGGATACACAAAAAATAGAAACAAAGAAAAGCTTTTCTTTAATAACTTGTAAACTTGTAAATTAAAAAAAAGCTTGTAAGCAATTACAATTTTGATGAAATGTCGTCTTCATTATATTAATTGAAATAACTCCAACATCAAAAGTTGCAAAGCGGTGCTTCAGAAAACTATTTTTGGTCAAATATCTTTTGCATAAAATTGTGTTTTGATCCAAATTTCAAATTTTGGCAATTGTCCCTGGAGAGTTGTGAAATTCTATTTGTTTTCTAACATCAAACCCTGGAAACTATTATTCTTGTTTTAAATTCCGGAGAAAATATAATTCCAGCTCCCTGTGTGACATAGAGAGATGGGCGTTGTCAGTCATTCAAGATTTTTTCTGAGCTTTAAAGGGACCGTTCACTTTTTTGGATTTGAGGGTAAACTTAATAGCCTATTAGCTATTCATTGGTATTAGTCTTACTTTTCAAAGATAACATGTGGCCTGAGAAAAAGCCGTTTTATCACTCAGAATTCCAGCGCAAAGGTATGATACCTTTGCATTTACACTAATTGATGCTTTGTGTCATAGTCAAGGATTTTTAAAAATGTTCAAATATTAAATTAAATTTTAGTATCAAATAGTTTATTCTTTTAAAAATTATTTTTAAATTGTCTATTTTCAAAATATAACTTATTTTAAACATTTGACGGTTTGATACGTTTTCTCTACTTCCCCAGGAATCCGCCTGATTTATTGAAGAGTTGGAATCTAGGAACCGGTTTGTCTGAGATACAGAGTTGTTGATTCACATAGGTACCCAACCCTTGTTGAGCAAACATGATAAACGTATTCTTGTTTTTTAGTTAATAATTGATACTTTTGTGGTTTCTCCTTGACAATTTGTGTGGTAGAGGAAAGGGGTACCGTTGTAAATCCGGAACTCTTTCGCTTGAAATTATGTCTGCAGGCCCTTTCAGAGATATACAATAGTTTGCAATTAATATTTCAAAAAAGGAATTATTATTAAAAATGTGTCAACTTTTGTTGTAAAGAAAGCAAACTCATCAAACATAAACATGAGAGTAAGTTTCCCCAGAATGGGTTGGTTCTTCTGTTGTACTTAACAGTGAAACATGTAGAATAAAATAAAAATTGTTGAGCCTTTTAAAAACTTTGCATGTTTAAAAATAACGATGGGCATCTCTAAGCCCCCTTCCTTCCATCTCTCAGATATCAAGGCTCAATTTAGAAAATTAAATTTCACGTTTTCACGAAATCTCCGAGTTTTGAATCAATGTTAAATTTGCTTTTCTTTTATGCAACAATTCCTGCGAAAAATTGAGACACAAAGTTTTCTTTTAACAATTCGTATACAACANTAATTATATATTAGGTAATGTTATATTTATACTGCTAGTATTTCAGTCTGTGAGCATTAAAAGATAAAAAAAGTTTTGTTTTTTATACAATTCTCGCAATCAACCTTAACAAGTATATATAAATCAAAGTGACTTATATGAGGGATGGGAGGTTTTAACTTTTATGAAAAACGAATAATTGATCGTTTTTTAACAATCAAAATTAATGAAAAAACTATTATTTTAAAAACTATAGCTTTTTTAATGAATTAAAAGTAATTTTAAAAATTTAAGAAAAAAAAATAGTTTTTGAAATAAAAACTACCTTTTTTAAAGTATATGGATCGTAGTATGCAAATTCACATTTCAAAGACAACATACATTAACCTCCCTCCAGTAAATATTTTCTAACTGATTTTACTTGACAATTTTATCGTTTTTGATTCAAGACTGTGGTTTTAATAATTCGTTTTTCGGTTTTAAAAGCATTTAACAGTATACTTATCTTACTTTTAACTGTTATTAATAAAATTTTCTTATCTCTAGAATGCCAAGTAAAAGGACTAGCATAGAATTTATTAGTTCTTAGTAACGATTAGCAGCTAAAGTGTGTATACTGTATAGTGCTAGGAATATTGAAATAGCTAATTCTTTTGCATAGAACTTCACTTCATTAAAGGTGTGTATATTTTGTCAACGTTGACCAATCTGAAAACGACGATATCCCTGAGGAGCCTGAAATACTTAGGTTTGCTCCTATTATAATTTTATAATTTGAATTTTTCGTTTTTAACAAATAGTTTAAAAGTCGACTTCCTATTCCAGAGTTTTTTGGTTATTCCTGTATAAAAAGCTCCTTGCTAAGTATCTAAACAACCTATTCAGTTTGGATTTTTCAATTTTAAGTTCCAACTTTTTCAAAATGTGGTCTACCATTTTATATCTTTAAGATTAACGGAGTACGGAGATAAATTGCTAAATTTGTACAAATTTCAATAAATAAACATAAAGTTTACTTTGATTAAACCCGTAAAAATTGGGGAAATTCAAATTAGATCAAAAGAACACATTTTAGAACAATTGAACAAAAAAATGTTCATTTGAACTAAAGTCAAAATTTTCATCATTTTGCAGCAATTTCCAAATTAGTTCAAACGAACACATTTTAGAACAATTGAACAAAAAATTGTTCATTTGAACTAAAGTTAAAATTCTTAAGTTCAAATTTGAAGTTTGAAGGAAATTTTTTTTTGGGAAAATATTCATTAGGACTAACGTTCAAAAGCACTAAAATTTTCCAGAAAATATTTAGTTCATTTGAACAATTTGTATATGCAAAATGTTCATTAAGACTAGTAAGTTCAATAGCAATAAAATTTCCATGACAATATTTAGTCCATTTGAACAATTTTTCTGTTCAAATGCCATAAAATAGCACAAAGATCAATTACTCTATTAATGATAAATTGCCATTAATAAAAATTGGCGAAAAAAATATATTCTTAGTTTAATTGAAAATGTTAAATGTTGATTTTGTTCACATGATATAATGTTTAAATGGACTAAAAACCGGTTTGTGAACAGCTTCAGTGCAATTGTACATTAGTCCAATTGGCCTATACTCCTTTTGCATCATAGCTACAAACTGCATCATAGTCAATGACCTTTCATCCTTTATATATATCTATCTTTATTTCTTAGGTCTAAATCATAGCACACCATGCCACGATATGTCAAGCTTGGACGTAAACCTCTTCCTGTTGGAGTTGGACATCACTGGGCAGTTCGAGTAGAAACCGGCCGTTTAGATGGTTGCTGGTATGAGCTTTTACCGGATGGTTCTGGTTCACGAGGTTCAGGCAGAAATCTTGGGAGTTTAAGAGGATCCAATATTTCAGGAAGTTCGGGAGATCCTGATCGAAATGAGATTGTGAGAAGTCATACCAAAGTAGCAAAGAGTGGAGCAGGGGCTTTGGGAGGCTCAACTGTTGGTAAAACAACAAAATCTGATGAAGAAATAGATGACTTCATTTCAAGGTGGTTAAAACAAAATCAAAGATATGGTGTTTATGCAGCAAATTGTCAAACATTTGCAACTGAGTTCATAGCATGGTTAACTGATGATAATTATAACATTTCAGTGTCACATGATGCTGGGAAAATACTAACCAACTCAAGCAAACGGACTCATGCTGCAGCACATGAAGGAACTGCATATGCAACTGCATCATATGGAGAAATACGAGAAGCAATGGGTTCTGTAGCTGTAGCGGGTCGATTACCAACTGTGATGGCAGGGGTATCAGCTGGAACAGAAGGGTTTTATGCTGTTGCTGAAGCTTCTGCATTTCGTGCTGAAGCAAATTATGGAAATTTTATTGGTGGCCATATTGATTTGAATGTCAATACAGGAGCAGGGGTTAGAAACGGCAATGTTGAAGCACACCTCTTGGGTTTCGGAGGAAGGGTAGGAACAGATGGAGTAGAAATCAATACACCACTAGGAGGCGTTCGTATTCCTGTTCTTGGTGCACCAATTAATTGGATTGGAGGACTATTCCGTTTATTTGTTCCCAGACGTTGAAAAGTTGTCTACCTTAATCGCTGGTGAAAGGGATAAGTGTAATTTAAAGAGACCCTTAATGCAAAGATGGCAAAGCCTGACTCGACACAATGGTACCCAATTGAAACACTTATCTGATCAATTATGTTGAAGATGTTGTCATTGGCTTAACCCTATTCCTGCTGGGGGGGGGGGTCAATTTGACCCCCCCTGTAGTGTTTTTTACATAACTCAAAAAGTATTGGTCTCAGTCTGTTGAAATTTTGTGAATTTTCCTAAATACCCAAAGCACTCCCTTTAGGTCTAAAACTGGGCTTTTATACTAACTGCCTGAGTCCTCAGGCACACTGCGTAAATGAATACTTTTTTCTTGCAGCAAACTAAATCTTTGTTTTGACCCACTTTCGGTTGTCAGATTTGGATAATTTTTAGCATTTTGGAAAGGCTTTACCAAAAGGAAATAGATTACAAACATTTTGCAAAGAAAATTTTTGCATATTTGAATTGGCATGGTCAAGGGCTTTTCATAAATTTATATTTCTTCATTTTTGGACATTTTTTTCAAACATTTTTACTAAATAACTGGATTTTGCAACAAAAATTTAAATTTTTGCAAATTTGCATATTGTTTTGCAGATTCTAAAAGTAGAGCATAAGAGCTTTCCAACGATGTGTCATTTGTCATATTTGGACATCAAACATGGGATTTATAGGGGGGGNAGCAGGGATAGGGTTAAGCTAAAAAGTTCTTAATTCTGATAATTCCTGCAGTAGAAATGTTTTTTTTTACTTTTGAATAGCAGTTTTAAAAATTGTAATTATGAATATCTAATTCATACTACATTAGACAACGCTTTTAATGGTGCCTGTATCACCGCCAACAATGACCACGTTACTTTTCAATGAAAGACCTGTTTGTTGAAGACCTGTTAGTTGTACCATGTGACGTTTCTCTTGGGTTTACTGGAAAACTTGCTCTGCTCTCTAATTCTCATGGTTGACACAATCAGATACAGTAGTAGATTTATTTAACAAATTCAATCTAAAAATACGACCATAGATCATCAAATCTTTATATGGGATATTTACTACTACAAAGATATAATAAAACACTCATCACAATGGCTCCGTCGAGACCTTATCACACGAATATATATAAACTCCAAAACGTTTAATCATTCTGAAAGAAAAAAACACTCATTTTATCATATGAATACTCCTTTTCAGCAAAGAAACTAGAAACTACAATGGATAACAAAGATGTGCTTTGTACTGCTTCTCAAAACAAACTGTGAGTGTACACATATATCAAGACCTTTCCTTATACTTTCTTAAAACCGGCTTTTGCCGTAATGTTCACAGAGCGTACTCCAGACAAAACACCGTACACATTCAGGGGCAGAATCAGAGATAAGAGAGTTAGAGAGAAAGATTACCAGCTAAAATATGCAATATTTTCCACAGCATGTTCTATTGTGTACAAGTACTGTACACGACCAATCAGCAAACATCTGTATTCAGGTATATTTAAGGATCCTTTGTATACAAAACACAAAATCTTCTAAAAAAAGACTGAATTTATGAATGTTATGTTTCATGTTTAAAATTGGAGTATTTCTTTAAAAGTTGTAAAACTTAACCCCTGAATGGGTATTATGTTCAACAAGTGGCCGTGAGATGGCACTCTAAAACCTATCGTAAAACGTAGCATGTCGTGCCGGGTCAACGTCAACTTAGGCCTTTGTAGCCCACCCTGTGAAATGAGATAACCAGTCTGTGTAGTCTGTGGGCAGAATAAGTCTTCACAGGGTGGTTCCATCAATGCTTTCCTATCAGGTTCACGTGACATGGTCGCGAAACAGTACCGTTTTCAATCAGGCAATGCGATTTTAAATATTTAGATTTACTCAAGAATGTAATGCAAGGAAAGTTAATTGCAGTTGCGTATACTCTGCGTACATATTGAAACCAGTTCTCTCTGGGCGGATTTTGTAAACAAGAATAGATGCCTCAGTGTTTGTTTAGCATCCGAGGAGGTTAAAAGCATTATATTTTGATAATTTTGATTATTCACATAATAGTTTCCTATGACCAGAATATTTCATTGATTATTTATGTGAAAGATGGATCCAATGTCAGGCTTCGACATCCGTCTTGTGTTTACATTACCGCCCAGTGACAGTACACTGCAGTACAAAATTTTCTTTTATTTAAATTTTACTATTTCTTGAGCTTATTTATTTTTTGCTTTTTATGTTATTTTTGATATTTAAGAATTATCTAATTTTTCTCTGATCAGATATTGAAATAAATATATTTGTAAAAACCTACATATATTTTATACTTAAACCAATTGGTGATAAACCCAACGTTTTTAAAGAAAAGTAAAAACTGTAATTTACATGTGAGAAAATAAATTGCTAGTTTTTAAGTTTTAAGAAAAAACATCTAGATGATATTTTAATATTTTTTAAACAATGATTTTTATTTTTTTTATCTTTTTCTTTAAATCCAATTTTAGTTTTATTGCTGAAGCATATTGTAAACAATACTTTCTTTCAGTTTAATTCGTTCAGTTTCATATTTTTTTATATTTTATTCAAGGAGATAATACAAATAAATAATCACACTGCCTAACCAGAGTAGGTTGTTTTAATTGGTTGGCCCATCGAAAGCTAATGAGAATTGTAAATAAAAACATGAGTGTACACTGTACAGTGTACATTTTAAACATTGATAATGATGAAAAATCCGGAATAAAATATATTATTAAAATCATGTTTATGAACTACAGGGTGAAAAAGATAATAAATACTAAGTTTCTCCACATGATAAACAGTTTTTTTTTACAGCACGGGCAGCCGTAGTATATTTGAATTTCCGAGCCAGGTCAACCTTCCTGGTCGCAGTTTGTACTGTACCTAGCTCTATGGCCAGGACTAGCCGGTGCAACAAGGTTGACGCGGTCAGACTTTATGCTTCATATAGGTTGAATTTACTTTTACTAAAGGGGCAGAGGTGTGTGACAGAAATAACTTGCATAACTATCTAAATAGGTCTTGATAATTTAGTTTCTTTAAGCTCTAATTCAACCAAATTCCATATTTTTGGAAATAAAGCAGAGGAAAAACATTCTAGAGTTTAAAAGAGAACCCGTTCAAGTTTATATGTTTTTGTTCTATTTAAACATACAAAACAACTTTGCATGTTTAAAGATAACGATGGGCATCACTAAGCCCCCTTCCTTCCATCTCTCAGATATCAAGGCTCAATTTAGAAAATTGAATTTCACGTTTTCACGAAATCCCCGAGTTTTGAAACAATGTTAAATTTGCTTTTCTTTTATGAAATAATTCCTGCGAGAAATTTAGACACAAAGTTTTCTTTTAACAATTCGTATACAACAAGGTTTAATTCGGTTTAGTTTGGTTTAGTTTGGTTTAGTTCGGTTTAGTTCGGTTTAGTTTAACTTAGCTGAACTAAATTAATTCAAAGGACTGGAGATATAATCTTAACTAAGCTAAACTAAAAAACCACAATGTCACGTAATTTCAAGTGTAAAAGTAACTTTCGCAGAGAAATGGAATATTAAAGAATGAAAACGTGGCAAGCTCTTTCATGCTTAAACAGAAAAAGCTTGTAAATCATGCATTGTCCACTTTGCATGGAGGGTCACTTGAAATCACGCTTACAGTCCCTTTATCTCTTTGTCTAATAAAGATTGAATGAGATATTCTTTTTTTTTGTGGTGTCTGTTTTAAATTGACTGGCTGATTTATGTTACAAATACAGTAGCAGAAAGCTATGGAATTGCGACAATTTCTTGATCATTGTTACTCAGATATTAATCAAAAGGGAACCCTGGTGAACCTGATATGTCTTTTTTTATATACTAGCTTGGGAACCCAGCGTTGCACGGGGTGCTCATAGTCACTCCTGCCGTTTACCCGCACTTACAGGGAAACTAACTTTTCCCTATAAAAGTCTACCTGTAGTATATAGATCATGTTAACATGAGATCTGTAAACTTGCAGTACGTTGTACATTATTAATGATCTATGTTGTAAACTTAAACATAATGACATTTTTTATTGAAACTGTGTTTCAATTGAAAACTTGCATGATTAGCTTAAATCATGTGAAATACTTAAATAACGCTATTAAACATGTGCGAACTGCGGAGATAGCTTAACTGCGTTATATCTATTTTCTCTTATTATTTACTGAAACTGTGTTTCAATTGAAAACTTAGCATGATTAGCTTAAATCATGTGAAATACTTAAATAACGCTATTAAACATGTGCGCACTGCGGAGATAGCTTAACTGCGTATATCTATTTTCTCTTATTTTTAAGAATAGAATATATGTTAGAGTGGAATTTACTAGGAAAAAGTGCATTTGTGCCATGTAACCTTTTGGGCCCTGGAACATAATTTTATAGAAAATCTAAAGTTAATGTTAAAAGAAAACCAAATTATGAAATAGGCTGGTTTCATAATTGACCGATGATCATTTCACATAGACTCTATGCCTTCCACTTTACAAACGATGATTTTCCGTTATAACTATAAATCAAATGATGTATTTA